GGGCCGGTGCTGGCCTGGGTCTCCCTGAAGGATGGGACTTGCGTGGGGAGGTAGTCCCTGCAGCATGGCTCCCTGGGAAGGGGTCCAGGACTGTGGAGGGCTGTGCAGCCCAAGGGGCAGCGCTGGGGTGGTGACGGGAGGAAGGTGCTGCGGAACTGGCCGGACTGTGGGTTTGGGTCTGTCCCCATTGCTTTCTTGTTGCAGGAAAAACATCCCTCCAGCATGGCTCCTTCCCTCAGATGCTGCTTCTCCCTGCATCTCCAGCATCCCTGGTCACTGGTGTCTGTGCAGAGCTCCAGCCCTGTCCCATGCCTCATTGTGGATGTGGGTTGGTGGGCTGAGTGCTGTGAAAATAAAGTGCTCAGGGCTGCTCCGAGGCCCGCAGTGCTTTGCTAAGCTTATTTCTGGAGTGCCCAGCAGCCCTGGAAAAGGTACAGTCACCTCCACTCTTCAAGGGCACATCCTGGGGGCAGGCAGCTGCCCCTTGTACCCCACTGCCCCCTTCCCCAAACTGGACCCCATTATGTGCCTGCCTCTCTGCATCTCTCCAGCCATCACCACTGTGAACTGGGACCTGTAACCCCTTGGGCCCCCAATCCTTCTTCTCCCCCCTGTCCCCCTGGGCCAGCAGTGACCCAGCCCTGTGCTCAGGCCCCTGGGGACACCAATGCGCTCACCCAGCTGGTGCAGGTCAGCCTTCCTGCAGGGTGGAAAGGCAGCAGGAAAATATCTATCAAGGTGTTCCCATGGCACTCATTCCTGTGCAGGTGGCTCATTTTGTCTTTCCCAAGGGTTTCAAAGCCTGGTCCCTCCCTGTGAGGTTTAACTGAAGACCTATGTGACCTGGCTGGTTATAGAGCAGCTGACTGGCTGGTGCTCCCACATTCATCAGAAGTCATTTTGCAAGGGCATGTATTTTTCCCTTACAGCAGCTGGTACCAAAATGAGTCTGAGACATGGTATCAAAGTGACTAGCTTGCAGACATCAAGGTAACAACCTGCTCAGGCACTGTGATGCTTTGCCACTGATCCCTCACCCCATGCTCCCTTCTGCCACTGGTACCCTGAGCGAGGACATCTTTCTGGCAGCTGCTTCCCAAAGCAAATCCTCCCCAGCCACCTTTCAACAGCCCAGGGTGGTAACAACACACCAGAAGCAGCTCTGGGAGGGATCTGACCTAGCTGTTGGTGTGGAGGCAACAGCAGCCGCATCTCAGCATCGCTGTTGGAGGCATCTCACCAGCTCTGCAGCTCATGTGCCCTGTCCCACCAGGGTGTGGGTGGGCTGCTGCTCATCAGCCTCTCCTTTGCAGTTCCCCAGCCCCATAGGGGCCATGGAAAGGGCACCCCAAGGCTCTCACCCCCTGAACCGGTGGGGACTGCGGCCACTGCGCTGACACAGGAGATGGGGCTGTTTGTGCCCAGGAGGCACTATGGCAGCCATGCCGACAGCAAGCATGTCCCTCTGATCAGCGACTGTGGTTATATTTTCATTTGCCAGCAGGTTCTGCTTTGGAAACCACTCTGTTCAGATTCCTTCTCTGATACTGCCTGCCTTATTCCCCTTCACACAGAAGGACAAATTGGTGTCCTACTTTCTCCCCGGGCTAGCCTGCCTCTATGCAGAGGGAGCAGATGCTTTTTTTAAATAAGTGCTTTTGATGGTTCCCAGGCACTGGAGAGCAGGGCTGGTCTGCTCCCTGCCTCAGATAAAGGATGGCAGTGTGGCATGTGCCCTCCGTACGTTGCTCACAACTCGGCTGCTCCTCTGAGCTGTAGTGTGTTCAGGGCAGCATGTGGTTGATGGTCAACCGGAGAGACAAGGCTGGGGCTTGAGCTGAGTGGAAGTCTGCCTGCCCCCCCCATGCAGTTAGTTTCTAAAGCTCCTCTGTGATGAGCACTTTTTTGAAAGATACTTATTATCCGTTCAGCTTAGCAATGGCAACTTTCTCAACTGGATCAGCAGTGCTGCATTTAGTTTATTTTTAACTTAGTTTTCAATTCTCAACATAATTCCAATGACATAGGTTTGTGTGTGTGCCCTTTATTTTACCAAAAGGATCTCCTTTCTTCCCTGGGAGCTTATACAAAGGCTGCGTTCATCCCTCCCTGGTCCAGTGCTGCCTTTCTGTTGTGCTTCCTAATCGCTGTGTAACACCACATCCTGGTGGAAAAACAAAAGCCATCTATTAGAAACAACATAAGGAAGAAATCTCAGTTCATTGCAGCTGTCCTTGCAGCTACTGACAGCCCCACAAGTTTGGTCTGGAAATACATTTCAGCTGGAAAGTTGGCAAATTCATGAGTGCTGCAAATACCTGAAATCCTCCTCTGCAGGTAAAATGCTCTGAGGCTGGAAAAATTGATGTCTAGTAAATATTTCTCTCCTGGCAACCAAAACATGCAGCTAATGCATATGTTTGGCAACTGTGTTTCTGTTGAGTGTTTTGGCAATATACTCATGTTTACATCCCTTACTCCTCACTTCCTTCCTTTGCAGCGTAGGCTCGCTGTAAGTGGTGGGATAGAAACAAGCACTGCTGTCACTTAGCAACCTCCACTGGCTTTGAGATGTTGATTTTTTTCCTTTCTGGATTTCCCAGCACAAAAAGAGATGGCCGTGTAACTCATCTCATGGCTCAGGCATGAGGCTGTAGCCAGCTGGGGATGATTTGGTCTGGTACAGCCCAAATCCCTCTCAGAGTATTGCATCTGTGTCCCGCTGCTGCTCCAGTGAGTGAGGCACTGGGAGTTGATGGGTCAGCCCTGGGTTTCGTGATCTTGGGCAAGGGATGCCGCTGGTCATGCCCAGCCATGGAGGCTCTTTGCCCCAGGGTGACTCTGTGGCCAGCCAGCTGGCAGGACGGTGACGCTGTGAGGCAGGCAGCAGTGGGATGCCACACATATACCCCATATGGTATAACCTCTTCAGGTGCCACAGCCCAGATCCCTGCTCTGCAGGACTGAAAGTGGGCTCTTGGGAAGACAGTGGAGGTGGATGGGGGCATACTGTGATCAGCTGAAAGTATGTCAAGCAGTTGGGAGAGATTTTGCAGTAATAAAAGCTTCAGGAACTGAGTGCTGAGACTGATTCCCTCCAGCTGGGAAGAGCTCTGCTGGGGTGAGCCTGGTCCTCCTGCCTGGGGATGCTGCTGTTGCTGCCTGGGCATGGCAGGGTCACAGCACAGCAAGGCCTGCAACAGCCATGTCCCAGAGGGCGGAAGCACCTGGGAAGTGTTTTGTTCATGAAATCTTCCTCGGGGAAGCACTTGGCTTGCCTGGCTTTGTGACCAAGGAAGCAGGCATGCTGCTAGGCTGCAGTGAGGTAGTATGGCTCTTTCCTGGGTGCTCAGGGCTGCAGGAAAACATCTCTGTGGGCTGCAGTGCAGCACGGTGGCCTTTTTCTACCCTACAACTGGATGCACCCGACTAAAGAATGCAGCTGGAGGTCACAGGGCAGGAGAGAGGCCGCCATGCCAGACAGTACAGGGACTGGGTGTCACTGTCCTGCAATCTGTGAGTCAGCAGTGCCATGGGCTGCAGGGGAGAGGCAGAAAGCACCTCCTCTTTACAGGGGGAAATGCTGCAGCCGCTACTTCTAATCCCAGCTCTGCAGCCACTCTGGTTTTCTTTCACTGGCTTTAATCCTGTCTTTTGCAGCTTCAAGGTCTGTGCTCTCCTCCTGGCAGATACGCAGGCATAATGCTGACCAGCAGGTTCATGCCAGCACTGCAGAGCCAGGTGCTGCTGAGAACCTGGGAGCTCCCCGTGCACTGGGCTCCTTGCCCACACCTTCTCCTGCTTTGTGCCGATCAGCTGCCCTGAAAAGCTCTGAAAGACTCTGGATTTGTATCTGAACCAAGAAGGAGGTGAGGGAGGTCCCTGGAGAGAAGAAGATCATGCGTGAAGGAGCCTGCCTCTTCTAAATACTTCCTAGGGGGGAGGATGCAGACTCATCTGTGCTCTGTTCCCCCTGGGGTCCTGCCTGCTCTCCTGGCAGGGGGGGTGTGCGTGGCTCTTCACTGCAGGCATCTGCAAATCTCTGTTGTAGTTTATACATAACCCATTTTTCATGAAGGGAATTGCACTGGTGTGTGTTTATAAAGCAGCCTGGGGACCTGATCTAAATGTCCTCAGTTTTAATGTCACACTGCCTGGTTAGGAAGAAGTGTCTGTGGGTAAGTTTGTGGGCTGAAATGCTACAGCTGCGCCCTGAAACCAGACTATTTTTGCTTTATATTTTTCTGGAATTCAAGTCAGGACAAACTTGCTGTTTGTAGGCTTGATCTGAAATGCACTGGAGGCTTTGGCAGGGCTGGGGGCCCCAGGCAGGCTGTGCTGGAGCCAGTGATATCTGGAAGCGAGCAGACTGCGCTGACGGAGACAGCAGTGCCAGTGGGGCCAGCATGCCACCCTGGGGACCAGGGCACCCTTTCCGCTGTGCTGGGGAGAGGTAGTTGGCAAAGGTCTTCTCTCCTTGCTGAGCTTGGCACGTGGCAAAAGGAAATGATAAATATCTTTGGAGCACAACTGAGCACAGGGTAAAAATAGAGCATGTTTAGCTGGCTAACCAGTGAGCAACGCAGCTCTGTGCTGCTGGGGATCGCACCTGGTGCTCCCCAGGAAACCAGTTTCTTGCATGGCCTCTGATGCTGGTTTAGGTCTTTTCTTTCATGTTCATTCATAACAAGAAGCTTTGCAATGGTCTCCACTAGTATTATCTCCATTTCCTTTAATTTAGCCACTCTGGATCTCAACAAATTCAGAAAGCCAGTCTGGAGTCCTCACAGGGGTTTGGAACAAGCTGCCTGCAGAAGTTGCTTAGAAAAAGCAGAGACTTGAAGACATGCTCAGGTACCCTTCCTCTCTTCTTT